GGCCGGATCCAAAACCCATTGAAGTTAATGAGAAGAGTCCCATTGATTTTAATAGGTTCTAGATTAGGCCCTTCCAATGGGCAGGTACAGGCATTACACTTTTACCAGTATAAGTGATTGGAAACTGGTCTATGCCCAAAAGAGAACAGAAGTTCATCACACAGATGGAAGAACCCAGTCTAAGATTTGCACCCCAGCTACTACTACAATTATAGTAGTAAAAAAGGCAGAACCCAGTCTAAGATTTGCACCCCAACCAAAGGGCGAATGTTCACTACTGATCTAAACTATGCCACTTACAGAAAACCATGTAACTTAGAGTCCACTTCAAGACTTTTGAATGTCTGTACTTTCCCAATGTGACTGCTTGCATTAGGTCTATTCTGTTGACTATAAAGGGACTTCATTTTTCAATACTGTCCATCCAGCAGTGGGCCTCATACAAAATGCACTTTACATCTAGCATTGACTTTTATTGAAAGAACAGAAATGTTGTCAGGTAGCAGTTTTTAACAACAGGGATTATATTAAAAGATTATTAAATTAGAATGATAAAACTGTTTTTGAACACCAGCATAACCTTTCAAGCGACTGCTGGTACTGTAAGTGCTCTGACAAATAATTCAAAGTGACTTGAACTGTTCTTGCTAAACAGCATAGATTCTACTTCATATGGCTCTCTTGGCTACATGTCTAGAGGATATTTGCATGCCAGGCATGTTATAACCACTCAGCAAATGCACTGTGTATCATTACTGATTGCTTAACTACACATTCCATGATAGCGTTTTGCCATGATTGATGACAGTTATTTTGGCATTTCTATTTGTTCAGTATTTACCCTGAAGAATCATGGACATTTCTATAACTGTAGCTGGGGATACCGGCTGTTGAAAAGGTAGCTGTATTACTGTACAAAGGAAGAGAAAGAGAATGCAACCACAGAAAGAGAAATGAGACATGAAGTCGCATTTCTTTTCTGTTTCTTTTTTTGTCAAACTATGCATAGGTTATACTGAAAAGAAAGGGAAACATAGACCTACTAAAAACATTATAGCACACTGATAAAAACAAAAAGGAAGACAGTACAGCCGTTCTTGCTTAGTGAATTTGGTGGCAGGCTGCCTCTGTAAAGAATATAGGATCAGGTAAAGGGGGATCAAATGTGTTTTCTTTCAAAGCAAGCCCGGGCACCAGAGCCTATTTAGAGAGAGATGGTAAGGTGTGTAGGCAGCCTTGCCTTCCCACCCACTCTATTCAAATGCAAATTGCCCTGCTGATGCCACACTGGCATGTCTGGGCACAAGACAATATTTACAATTGAGGTTTAGTATATGGAAAGAGAGCTACTCAGTCCAGACACTGAATGCGATTGTCACCCTGAAGAAAAGCAACTTGATTTCTTTCAGGTTTTCTAATCCACTCTCTAGTGACTAATAAATTAGGCAGAAAATTAAATCAAGGACATCTAACTGTGAAAGCTCTCAAATCATTTGTCTGAAGAATGGGTTTTATTTGGATATTCATTGGTTATGGCCAGTATAATAGTTTAAACATCCACTCCTTAGTTGCCACATTCATTCCTAAGGCTTTTATTCTAGCACACATTTTTCTTATGCTAATAAAAGGAAAAATGCTAGATGAATAACCTACTTGTTCCTGGGCAGGGTCCTATATTCTCCATTTGCCCCTTTCCCCCAGTAGCTGTTTTGTCCTCCCTGGGAGCCAATGTTGTTGCTTTCTCCAATAAAAATGGACTGTGTTACTTCCAGGCTGGAACCCTCATCTGTTGGGAAAGTTCCATCACTGTAATTAGACAAAGAAAAACAAAGCAGAGTTCAAAAAATTAATTAAAAATACATTCAACTGTGCTTTTAATTAAGATTCTGAAACAGCATCATTTTTCATTTTGAAATAAGGAATCCACAGGCATAAAAAATATGGTTTAAAAACATCTGCAGAAGTCAGCAAATTAGTATCTGTAATAAAGGTAGCTCAGTAATTAAGCGTCATTGTTAAGAGCAGTTTAGTGGTCCAGGCAAATACAATTTTTATATAGTATCCTCCGCACTAGATCATTATATGGGCCAAATTCTAGCCCACAAATGGGGGGGAAGTATATGAATGCTCCAATAAATGAGGAAACACATACACAGCTAGATTTGTATCCAAAGCTGAAGTCAACAGACAGATTTGCATTGTCTGCAATGAGCTCTGAATCAGATGTCTCAATGCTATCACACTACCAGCAGTTTTTGGATTAAAAACAGCACAAATAATTTCTGCAGACCATAACTGGAGGCAATATGGTCAGAAGAACCACTTTGCAACCCCACAGAGGGCCTTTTCCTGCCACTGATGCATGGAACAATGCACAAGGACTAAAATGTCCTTGAATTACACGAAAAAGTTCAGCTTAATGGCTAAACACAGCCCAAAAGGAAATAGTCAGGGGTTATGACATATTATCTAAACAAACCAAAGCAAAGAAATTGAAAGTGTGTGTTGTTGCATTCATTAATGGTTATATATGTGGTAGGGCTGATGGTTTGGGAATGAAATGAGAGATTTTCTTGCATTTCAAGGTAAATACAGGGGATCTCTCCTCGCCTCTTATTCGTTAGTCTGTTACTTGGACATAACCTTAAAACAAGACATATTGTGAGAAATAAAATTACCTAGCAAGAGTCAGTCCAATTCCATTGTCTGAAAACCTAGGAAGAAAGAAATCCAAATGTGAAAATTACTAGGAATATAAAATGTTAACATCAAATAAAAGCTACCTATGCTAGTAATGAGATGAATGATATAAACATTACTTGTAGTAACCTACCCAGAGTTGCGGAAAATAATGTCCCCACCCCTGGCCCAGGCCCCGTGGTCATTATTTTTAAAAGCGATGAGGCCATCAATTAATGCAGGAATACGTGGCTTTTCAGGGTCAGCATCCTGATGTGGGCGGAACCTGAAGGCAGAAAACTAGTTAATATTATACAAGAGAAATGGGAAACAATGTTAGACACAGGAGGTCTTATTGGTCAAAGCTGTTTCCAAATACAACCTGAGGGAATTAAAGAAGTAATTTTGTTTCTATTTTCAGCCAGACCTATAATAATAGGTACTGGGAAAATATTTGTTTCATTCTGTTATTGTATCTTACTCCAAGACTGAAGCCAGCAAACATTTAAGGGTCAAATTCTGGCCTCACTGAGGTAAGTCTGAAAGCTCTCCCTGACTTCAAAGTTTTTCTTTAAGGCTGGATTTTCCACAGTACCTTCATGACTATCCAAACCCCTTGGAGACTTTCTATAGAAGCTCTTAAGAGCACCAGTGCATGAGGAGGGGACAAGCCTAAGCACAACAAAGGAGAGGGGTTGATCTCTAGAGAGTTATATCCCATACACTTGCAAGACCCTGGTGGGTAAGACCAGAGCATTAACTTACTTCCTTTCATCTCAGTGACAAAGCCCGCAGAGGCTTTTTACAGTAAACTTTATATTCCCAAGTGTGAAGGTTGTTAAAATGTTTGTACTGCAGATTTGAGACAGGGACTAGTATTAAGTGTAGAAACCAAGGTACAAAATGAATGTCGCCATCTAGGTTTAAACTATTGTAAGTAATTAACAACAAACAGCACAGTCCACTGGTACATTAATATAATTAGGAAAACCATATCCTTTTACAAAGGCTTCTCTACTTAATCTGTAAATCCTGAATGCACATCTCTAGCAGTAATTTTGTATGATTCAGCGTGTAATTTCAAAATGTTTGCCTGTGTACATCAGAGATAATATTCCCATATGTTCCATCCAGCAAAGTAACCTGGCCCTTGTGTATGCTGTAAAGGTCTGAAGACACTAAAACAATAAAATGAACTAAGACATGTTAGCCATGTAGCATTTACTCACCTAGCATTATCTACAGTAAGATACTCTCTAGGATCTTCAGCACTGGCTTTTGTTGTTTTGACTCCTTTTCCAATAAACAAGCCAGCCTGAAAAATAGATATGATTTCAACTGTTTTCACCAGGAGACTGACAACACATGACAAAGATCAAAAGGCTTTATAAACAGAACACTCCACACAGGCAGCCCCTGAGTTCAGGCACTAAGTGCTGTGCATACCAGTGCTCTCCATCCCAAATATTGACCTCTGTGCCATTTGAATGCTGACTCACTGAGGCATTACAGTAGCTTTAGTATAGTATGTCAAAGTCAGGGCAGAATACTACAGTGCTGTGCCCTTTACATCATTGCTTTAGTCTGGCTTCAGAGCCAAAGCAATGAACTGAATCCCTCATCACCTTCTCACTCAAGGAAATAAGCCATCCCTCTGAGCCCTTGACGACTGCAGGAAAGAATAATGTTGCAGTTAATAAATAGTGCTCCTGCTAAGGGCCATGGCCTTAACTCCTTTTAATTGTGGATTCCTTTCACAAATAAAACAGAATGCAATTCATGCATCTAAAAATGCCATTACTACATTGATAAAATGAACATATAATATATATGTGGCTTGTTCCCGTATACACACACACACACACACACACACACACACACACACACA